TTTACCAAAAGGGAAACGGCTTTTCAAGTCATGCATCCAGCTCTTCACTGTCTGAAGTCAGACCTGCAAAATCAAGTCAAGTCTAGTTTTATTCTTACAGACTCAGAGAAGATGCCAGCAATTTACCTGAAAGAAGAGGTGGTTTGTATGCCCTTCCCGCATCTAGTTTCCTCCTCAAATCTACAGCTGGCTGTTCCTCCCATTTGTCTCTACAAGGTCTGTGAAAGAAACTGAAGTCTAAAGTCCCGTTCCTGATTTAGTATTATTCATCCACTGCTCATGTTTATGAATTGGTCGATCAGCACTTAAACAAGTCTCGGATACGCATTGACTTTGTAACGGATAAGTGTTCCTCATCAAGATCAAGTTCCATGACCTGGAAGCTGAGCTTCATGTTCCAGAGTAGCCCCAGGCAGAGTGCAGTTCTGCTTCCATCACCCTCAGGTAGAAGTTCCTACCAGCACCTGGTGTCCAGCTCACCCTGTCAAATGCAGCAGTGCACCTCTGTATCCTCACCAGCTGTTCCTCAGAAAATAATGGTGACGTCACAGCTGACACCTTGGATGTAGCTGAAAGTTAGTTGGGTTGTTTTTTTTTTGAGTTGGAGCATCAAAGGAAGACCTGCAGCTTCTTCAGGAAGGCTTAAAAAGTGGTTTGTATACTACACGCAAGGCTGGTAAGAGAAAGGGACTCTTCTGGAAGGAGGTGGATGACCGCACAACAGAGATGTTGCCTCAAGTTTTTGTTTGTTTGTTTTTTTTTGTTTTTTTCCCAACTTGTTTTACATCTTGTGGGTTTATCACTTATCAGTATTTGGCATTCTCTTGTGCAAAAGGAAAAAAAAATTATGGCGGTGGAATCATAATTTTATTTTTTAAATTATATACTTCATAATGATTTTTGGACAGTCCACGTGTCATTAAAAAATTGAACAATATCCTAAAATCCCAGAATTTTTACTACACAGATGGAAGATGCTGTCTCTGAGTATTACAATCCAAACATGAATTTAAAGTGGTACAGACAGCAGTGGAAAAAAAGTAGTTTGAGTCCAGGCAAGTGCTTTTATGTCCATTTTTTCCCCCAGAAGATATGAAATTTTTAACAAAAAGTTTGAAATGGGAGCCTCAGTTTAGTATTTAAAAAAACAAAACAAGATAGAAACAGGCTCTCTAAGTGGCCGTGGAGTTGATTCTCTGTACTTTGTGCTTTTTAGGCCCCAGTGTAATATTGATGGTATATTAACAACCCTTTAGACAATGAGTGGGGAAATTCAGTTACACTGAAAATGGCGATTGATCAGCTCCTAAGTGTGAGGAAAATAATCCATGTGTTGCTTTTCACCAGCAAAGCATCTGGTCCTAATTGAGTTGTGCTGAAAACGTGTAGGTGGTCAACATTGTTCCTCTTTTTTTTTTTTTTTCTTTTTTTTTCTAAATTAATATCAGTATTAACCGCTGTAGGAACATTGAGTCTGACATTGAGTATTTAATCCTGTTTTGATTGATAAGAACAGGAATGGATTCAGGCTTAATGTAAAACCTCCACGTTTACTTATTAACAGAGTATACTTTGTAAATACTGTATGATAATTGATGTGATTTCCTTTTAGTACACAGTGTAGGGTTTTTTGTTTTTGTTCACACATGGGTAAGTGTGAATTTTTTTTTTTTGTTTTTTTCTTTGTTTATACAACTATTGAACAAATTTGTGAATGTTTAAAAAAAAAAAAAAAAAAAAAGAAGAATTTGATTGTATGCAGTGATCTCAGTGTGGCTATATCGGAGAAATGTCAGCGCTGTTTCCGAGTGCAGCCTGAACACAGTTGCACAGGTTGTCAAATCCAATTTTGGCTCGATGCTCAGACTCCATTGGTCCAAAAAAGAAGGAAAAATAAGTTGTTGAAATTTTTCCCTTTAGGTTTTGTGCCACATTTTCCTGTTTTGTGCTCTCTGATTGGTTCCTGCTGGTTTCGTATATATTCAGTGACAAAGCAGACCAATGTGGCTAAAACCTTGCCTCCTGACCAATCATGTCGATAAATCACGTGTGACCCTGGATCATATATATATTTTAGATGTGTTCGTTGTTGACTTTTGATTTCAGCATATGTTTTGTAATGACAAAGATCTCAACATGTTTCCTTTCTTTCCCCCCCTCCCTTCATTTACCTTACTCCCCTATCCTCCTTACTGCCCCCCCTCCCCTCACTCCTTAAACCCTCCTCCCACATGCCGCCAGACTTCTCGTCCTTCAGCTTGCAAGGCTGCTGCATTGCAGGAGCACACGGAGGGATAAGTGGGCGAAACTCCTCCAGATGCCTGCCGGAGAGAGTGAATTGTGAGCACTGTCTCGGTTTGACCCGCCTGAGTTGAAGCCATACAGCTCATAAAACACAGGGGAGCATCGCATAATGAAAAGTTGAAAATGTTGAAATGCTGCTAATGGGATTTGCTGCTAGCCCTTATTTAAAATGGTTTTGTGTGCAACATCGTACCTGTTCTAGTTTTTAAAAACAAAGCTCTCGAGTCATGTTTTCCTTGTGCTGTGGGGTTCTGCGTGTCCAGATGCATTTGCATAGTTGTTTGCTGATAAGACTTTTCATATTTAGTTAGGTTGGAATTTTTTTTTCTTTCTTTTTCAATTCCTTTCTCTCCACTGATTAGAAATGTTTTAGCTTTTGTTTGTTATACTGGCAGGCTGCTTCAGAGTTGAATTGGCATTGAATAAAATATGTCTGGACATGCAGAACATAGTGACCTAAAACTCACCAACATCTTTTTCTTTTTTTTTTCTTTTTTTTCCCCAAGTATAAAATTTATAGGTTTGTGTTCACATGCTAAGCAGTGACTCTTCTGAAATGATGTAAGATTTTTTTATTTTATTTAATGCAGGCTTGTATTCTATACATCTGATGTCTCAGATTTTCAGCACTGAAACAGCCCAGGATGTTTGTCTTTACATAGAAAAATCATCCAGATAACTAATGTACACATTTTCATTTAATACCCCACCCCTCCCAATTTTTGTGTATTTTGCTCCTATGTTGGTGTATACCTCCATCAGTCTTTGTAACTGCTTTTTTGACCCTTGAAGAACTCCCATCTCCCTCTTTCCCTCCACCTTTGTTCATTTCTTTTTCTTTTTTTAACTAGTTTTTTGTAGAATCTTCTCACTTTCTCTTCTTCACTCCTCCCTGCATGATGTTTCAACCTCTCCCCCGACTCTCTAACCAGTATTTCTCTTTTGTCATTCTTACCCTTTTTTTCCTCTTATGTTGGGTATGTTTGTGACTGCCGTGTGCAACTCTCACTAGTAAGTATTGTATCCTGTCTGCAGTGCTTTTAATAGTTTGTGTTGCAGCACTTTAACAACTGAAGCTGAAGGTCTATCTGCAATGCGCCCTCCCTATCCCTCATTCCCATAGCTACATAGATCTGATAGGATAAACTGCCATTTTGTAAATATTGTGTACATATCTTTTGGAAAGACGTCTAATAAAAAAAAAAAGTACATAGAGCACATACTGTCTTTTGTTTTTGTTGGAGTTGATTGAAATCTAGCAGTTCAGTGGAGCACAGAGTTGGTTGCAAACAGTTTATTATGAAGATGTTGAATGATGGCATCTGTGATAAAGCAGATCAGCTAGCAGACGAAGCACGATGGTTTGATGTTCATTCATATGGTGATAGTTTTTACTTTAACCAACACAGATTAAAAATCCTTGAGAGCAGCTGGAAAAAAGTTAGTGTGGAAGGTTAAAGATGTAGAAAGTGCAGCAGGGAAAAAAAAATCATTTTGTCATGCAAACAGCAAAAGGCATATAATGGCAAAGGACAGTTCAGTTTAAAAATAGCAAGAAAGCTGGCAAATGAAAAAGACTAAACGCTAAAAGAAATACTACTAAGAAGAAAAAAAGCAGAGCAGCGAAATGGTACAGAAGAAATTCACACGAGGAAACAAACGTGGAGTAAAGTTTTTGCATAAAACGCTTATAAGACTTAATAAGAAAATATTAAAATGCATTGCTGATCTATCACATGAGGTGAAACTTACAAAGGAAATGAAACAAAGGCCAATAATCTGGAAGTTTAGAATGTGCAGAAAATAGAAAACAGGCCCAGGATGGTTTTCATACATGTAGAGCATGAATACTGGCACTGAGTGTTAGAAGGAGGAGGGGAAAATATGAGAATGATGCAACTAAACAGTAAGCAGTGAAATCACACAAAGAAAATAAAAGAAGGGTTTGTTTGGGGTTATTTTCTATAGCATTGCCGATGTAATGTTGTGTTGTCACAGAAGAAAAACCAGAAACCCAGGGAGTGAGGAGAAGCAGAATAAATAAAGAACAGAAGAGATAGAGGAGAAAAAAGTCTGATTTATTCAGAGGTAAACATCAAACAAAGCAGAATAGAGTGAAACAAAGCCAAGAAGAACTAACTGATACAAGAAAAGAAGTCATTTAGCAGTAATGAAGGAGAAAAGAGGGAGAAAATACAGGACAGTGACCCTCCGGTCATCAAAGCTCAAGCAAGGTAGCGAGGAGTGAAGCCAGAAAACAGAAACTACACTGTGTTAGTATTTATGAACAGAAAGGTAGGAAAGGACTCAAGAAACTGCAATCAAGGATTAAATGTAACGGCTGTATGAAAAGCTAAACATGTAGATTTAGAGGTAGATTGTTAGAAATAAAAATAAGTCCAGCTGATAAACATTATTTCTGTTTTTAGTTGCAATATCAGTGTCGCAGCCAAATCTCTCTCTTGATGTTGAAACTCACAGACATTCCCACACACACACACACACACACACACACACACACACACACACACACACACACACACACACACACACACACACACACACAGTAGATAAATGCCAACAAAAATAAATCATTTAAAATTGTACAAAATGTTTTTTGCACAGTTTGACCCCTGAAAAAAAATCCCAAATTATTAAACACAAGAATCTCACAGTATTTTTTTAACCACTTATCCAAAAAAAAAAAAAAAAAAAGCAAAGCATTAAAAGGTTTCAAGCGACAGCGTCTCCTACGTATTCTCCAGCAGAGCAGATGGTAAGTGGGTCCTACAGTATTTTAACCTTCAGTCTGTTTAGTCTCCCGAGGAGAGATTGTGGTGGAGACAGCAGGTGACACCACGTGTGCCACATTTCCGAGGTTGTTTTTAAGGATTATTGTAATCTGCCCTGCAGTGTCCCAAAGTTCAACAGAGATGCCCGACGACCCCGCCCTTCACCGGGCCTCAGTAGGGGGTGAAGCGGTTGTATCCACCTCTGTACAAACTGGCCTGTTGACAGTAGTAGGGTGAAAGGTGCAAGTTAACCACCGTGATGTATTTCTCAGATTAAGCTTTGTTTACTCTGATAGCTGCTCACCATTGTACCGACCCCATATGTTGTTGGTCCGACTGAGTGGTGATAGGCCTCTGGAGCGTAAACCCGTCCATATCTGTTTAAAAAAATAATAATATCACGACTCCAATAAAACTTTGTTTCTTATTAATTTATCTGCAAATGAAATTCTGCAAATTCTTTATGATTAATGAAAGCCAACTGAAGTCAGGCATGTATGTGAATTTTTTTACATTATGTGAATATTCTGCCATGATTAATGTGAGCATCCAGCACTGTAATAAGTTATGTGATGGAAACCAATCAAAAGCACATTTGGTACTGAATAATATCTGAAGTATCTTACAAAAACAGTACTTTGGGTGTTATTGTGATATTGTTATCCTTGGAAGAGCCACACATCCCTTTGAGGTTGTGTTTGGAAGGCCATCCGGCATAAAAATCTGCCAAAACAAACATGTGGATCTGCCCACTGTGGCGACCCCTTGTGACTAAGGGAGCAGTTGAAAGCTTCTTCTTCTACTAGCAGTTTGTGTGTTATTGGTTAATTTAAAGCTGCTTAACAAGGCCCATAAAATCCTTGAGATAAAAACAAGAACATAATCTCAGGTGGGATCTTTGAGCTACACAGGAACAAAAAAATGAGGTTTTTTATTTTACATACTGTGTCCACTCACAGTAAATGTTACAAGATAAATTCCTGACTGTTTGAGAAAATCCAGATCTTTACTTCCTGGCACAAGGTAGAATATTTTCAAAAGCTGTGTTTATCTTGATAAAAGTTACAAAAGCCAAGTTTGAGTTCAAAGGGTGAGCTCTGTGTCGGTAGGAAGACATTTTCATGGGAATAGCCGAAATGCTCCAAATAGGTTTTGTGTTTCTGCTCAGGTAAAAGCGGTATATACTATTAGGCACACAGCTGCTCAGTGGTACTGCTGAAGCTCAAACACAGCATCAGAATGAGCAAGAACATTCATCTTTGTGTACATTGTTTGTCTGTTTACCCATCACTGTAGGTCGCTGTGGCAGCAGATGCTGACTGAGCCACTCTGTATGCTGCAGGGTATCCGCCCTGCATGGGAAAGATGAAGCAACAATAAAGCAGCAGCAACTGATTGACTGATTAAAAAAGTAAAGATATGAGTAGAGTTCAGCTGCGTACATAGACTTCTGCTCCATACAGTCCATCCTGATACACAACCCTGAAAAAAAAGAATAAAACATTATCAAAATGAAAGTAATTGGATATAAAGCCGACACCGGTGCTCAGAGTCTTACCCAGGGTAGGTGGGGACAGCAGCAGGTGTGGTTGCAGTGGAGCGAATTGTGTTGTAGACAGCTCGACCCCGACCACGCAGCGCTGAACCGCGGTAGGCCAGCGTAGGAGTCGCTACAGGGTACGGAAAACTGGCAACTAAAATAGAGGAGAGGGAAAAAAGTAGCAGGAGGAGTGAAATGGCAGTGCTGATCATCTCTTCAGAGCAATATGTCAGCATGAAAGAGGGAAACCTTTAGTTACCTGTATAGAGCTCAGGTGCGTACATGGCCCCCATGACTGGGTTGATCTTCCAACCGGAAGCTGCAAAAACAAGGCCTCTATTAAAAACAAGCTCCAAAGATTAGTCAGGACCCAAATATTAATGAGAAGTTTCTTACTTGAGATTTCACCGTTCACGAGAGGCGCTTGGGGTTTCTTGGTAACTACTCGTGCAGTGGCATTATTAACCTGGGGATAAAATAATAAGGATAATCACGGAATCAGAAAGTTAAACCTACAACACAAAAGCTGCGTGATTTCCAGCCACGTGATCAATAAATATCACTTAGGTATAATGTCCAAGGGAAGTTACAGGGTCATAAATACATTTATAGTGAGGTGGCCATTTTTTCTCTCTCTCCCACTGCTGTCACTCATTCAGGGAGACTCTGCCTTCACTGTACGAGGCTCCCATGTCCCTGAAATTGGTGGCCGGAAGAAAAAGATCCCAGTTCCATTTTTTAAATTATATTATATTAATGTTATTTATTATTTTTAAGGATTTTTTCCTCTAATTATTCCTTAATTTTTCACTAGTTTAAGAGCCTTTTAATAGTTTCCCCTCCCCATTATATGTTGTATGGGGGAAATAAAAGAAAAGTACTTCAGTTTACCATGTATTATATTTTTGTGCCTGAACATATTTTTATGTTTTATTGAGTATATCATATTGGGTAAAACAAAACTGCACATTTGTTTTCTAGTTTTAAAAAAGAAATGGGGAAATCTCGCTTTACCTCGATCTTCCTCCCTTCCACGATTGTCCCGTTCAGCTTTTCTCTTGCTCTGTCAGCCTCGGTAGCATTCTCGAAAGTGACGAATCCAAAGCCCTGTGTGTTTGCACGGTTATATGTTTACTGATGAATGATTCCCACGTTGGTTTAAAAGCACTGATCATATTTCTGAGCTGCTCACCTTTGACCCCCTCTCATTGAAGATAATCTCTACATCGAGGATCTTGCCAAATTGCTGAAAGTGTCAGAGCAATTTTCACAGAGTGGAAATTGTTGGATTCAACATGAAAACATGGGCTCTGTGTATGTGTGAAGCTCAGAAACGAGGTGACTGTCATACCCCAAACATCTGGCGGAGGTCTGGGTCTCTAAAGCGAAAGGGGATGTTCGAGACATGGAGGCGTTTCGGTTGGGTTTTACCTGACCCCTCTTCCTCGCTACCGCTTCCTGCCCCGCCCCCCGATGACACGGACACACTGAGAGACTGGGGGTCAGAGGTCACGGGGACCAAAGAGTCCTCCTGACAGTGAGAAAGCACGAAACAAGACAAGGAGGCAGAGGAAGAGGAGGAGGCAAGCAAGTGGATAGAGGAAGAATGGACGGGAAGAACAAAAAAAGATGGAAAACAAAAGATGGAGAGGGTGTGAATGAGGTGGGACAGATGTGAAGAAAAATTGGGAGAGGGCATCAGTAGAAAAGCAAAGAAGGAAAAGAGAAAAACAAACAAACAACAAAGTAAATTAAACAAATTCAACATGTTCCAGAGACTTTCATGTTTAGGTAAAAACTCCAGTTGCGTAAGCATCACATGGCATTAAAGCTCAAAGATCACTTTCATGAGATCAAGTGAACCAAACCAAGTTCAACCAGCATTCAGCAACCAGTGAACCTTCTCAAGCAAATGTAAGGAGGCGTGGAAGGGGCTCCAGTTTAGTGAGGCGTCGTTGAATACATGCCTGTAGGAGATTAGGACAGTGACGCTAACAATAAACGCCAAATGTCTGGTATTAAAACTGCTCATTCCAGCCGTCGTGAAGAGTGAGAAGTTGTTTTAAGCTGTTTTCAGACTCTAACTCAAAGTTTCCCACAGTGGCTCTAACAACTACTTGTTTTACCTTAGTATTAAAGACATACCTGTGCTAGATTAACTTATATAAACTGCCCCATGCAGAAAAATTCAAGAACTAATGTGCCAAAACCAAAACATTCACTATCCCACAATGCACCACGATGCTAGTGTGTGTGCATGTATGTGCATATATATATATATGTGTGTGCAGGTGTGTTGGCCAACCAGCATTGTTCAACCATTGCAAGAAAAGTGGTTAAAAATATATAGATTTGAAAGAAAATCTGCAAAAAAGGGCAACAAACTAAAACCAGTGAGCTTCAGCAGCAAGAAACAAAAGGAAGAGGAGGAGCAGGGAGCACAAAAATTAACGCGAAAAAGAAAAATTACTGGGAGATGTGCTACTCTAATGGAAATAAGACTACACTCCCAAGCCCTGAGTATTAGCAGTCTAGTACCACGAGGCAGATAAGGAGTGAAAAAGGCTTCAGTAAACAAGGCAAAGAAGGTGCACAGAAAGGGGACAGAGTTTAAAACTGAAGGGTCAGTGGGGGACGGGTGGGGTGGGGGGTCACGGTGCTGCTTTTTTGCCAAAGGTTAAAGTCGTTCGTCAGGGGGCATCATTAATAAGAAGGAGACAGACAGAGAGAGGTACAGAAACACATTCATACAGACATATAAATGCACACAGGCTACTACTGGTGTACACTACACTGGCTCGATGTGGCTTCAACTGTAGACAGCAGACCCACACACACGCGCACACACACACGCACATACAGGCCAGAGTGGAGGGGGGGGGGGGGACAGAGGTACAGAGGGTTGAGTTGGGTGGTGGTGTCATTGTCACGATGCAGGATTGAGTTCTGGACCTGAGCGATATTTCAGACGGGGGAAAGGGGGGGGAATCATCCGGTCAGCCTCACCCCGCCCCCCCCTTTTTGACCCCCTCCCTCCGTGGCGACGTCTCAACTTTCCCCGAAAATCATCACGGACCCGAGTATGTCTGGGACTCTAGTGATAAAATATATAAACGGGGCCATAAAACACCATTTATGAGAGGAGGAAGGGAGAAGCAGGACACAGAGCTGACCTGCCACACAGATCAGACGGCTCTGCATGTGTCAGAGTAGATGTTTCCATGTCTGAAGGAGACTTCTGCACTGCAAAAACAAAACAGTCACACACATCTCTGACCACATAACTCATGTCTTCATGAATAAGAAAAAAAAAATCTGCTAATCCGTTAAGAATATTTAAACCTGTTCCAAGGTGAAATCACATCTTCAAGTAACCACTTCTGCAAGGTCGCAAAAGGTTGGTTCTGTTTATCTGGATGAACCGTTTTCAGTGGGAGAAACGTTTCGTCACTCATCCAGGTGACTTCTTCAGTCTCAGCTGACTGCAGGTTTCCCCAACCTTATAAACAGTACATTTGTATAATGACTGAAACTAGCACCACTGAATAAACAGTGGGCTGTGATGTCAGTTCCTTGAGCATTAATATGCAAATTGTCATTGACCAACAACCACTGATCAAGGACGAATGATCAATGGTCATGAGTACCATTCACAGAGTTGGGGAATGGCTGCAATCACAGCCCGATGAATCAAACACTGATGCACTAAAAACATAAAATATATTTTTTATATTTTGTCAGGATGTTTACTAAACACTCCAGTTTTTAGAAAATAGAATTTTAAGGGTACTCAAAGGAGCTTGCAAAGAAAAGCGTCTGGACTTCTTTAAGTTGCTTGAAGACGTTTCACCTGTCATCCGAGAAGCTTCTTCAGTTCTAAGGTCAAATGGTGGAGAGTCCCAGATTTAAACCCAGTGGGAGTTTCCCCCCAAAGAGGGACAAAAGGACCCCTGATGATCCTCTAATCGCCTGAGCCAAGGTGTGAAAACGGGTGTGGGTCCCAATCAGCCAGAGTTTCGGGTGAGCTCATTGTGAAACCTGGCCCCACCTTATCATGCGATTTCCTGAGGTCAGATGGCCCAGGATGTGAGTGGGCGCTAAGGCGTCTGGGGAGGCAACTCAAAACTGGATTATAGATGGTGTCGTAAACCATCGCCCCTGTTCAAAGATGGTCGCTTACAGTGGACATAGATGGCTTCTAATTTTGAGGGTAATATTTATTTCAGGCTTTACACGGTTAAGATACGTTTTTTCAAAATAAAATAATAAATACGTTTTTTTCAATTACAGACCTGGGAAGTGACAATAGGTCTCTGCAGGCAGTGTGAGTCAAAATATTACATTATTTAAAAAAGACAAACTTTCTCTCGTGTGTGTTGCTGTTTTTTTAATCAATTCAGTGAGAGTGGCATGGTAAATTTTGCTTTCAAACTGTAAAGCCTGGTTCTGCTGGTTGTCTCTTCCTGCTAAAAAGGTTTTTTCCCTCTCATATTGCAGGGTTTTTAGCTTACAGTATTAAGGCCCTTGAGGCAACTGTTACTGTGAATTTGTTATTGTAAATGAGCTTGAAATTGAATTCAAATTGCTAATTAGGAATAATGCAAGTAGCCTACAGCTTACTGGTGGTCATTATTCTGCAAGTAGGCTAACAAAAAAATCACTTTGATTTTAACCTGATGGCAGCACAAGATGGAAATTCTAGAGAGCCCCTCAAGTTCTGAACTGTGTAATTGTATAATATAGTTTATTACAATTTCCATAAGATTCCAGAAGATTAGTAGCCTGTTGTAACAACAATTCCTCATCGTTTTATCAAGTTATTTCATTCAAAATCAAGAGGAAACATCAGGCAGCTCATAAAGACTGAGGCCAGTGTGACCTGTTTGTGCATTAATGTGTTCTCTGTTATTGTAGGGTCTTTATCTTACAATATAAATGGAAATTAAAGACGCTTCCACAGTGCACCGATGCTGAAGTGGTGTAGGCCACACACAGAAAGAGATCAGCAGCAACCAGAGACCACAGGGTGTCAGTGAAATTCATCAGTGTGGTAACTGCCAGTATGAGTAAAGGACACTGCTGCCACACCACCGGCAAGATTACACTGAAACATTTGAGGTAATAAACACGAGGGTTATCTACGCAACCAGCCAGGAACAGCTGCAGAGCAATGACTTTAGATTCAACCGAGGCTAAAATTATAATGCAGGTTTCTTCCCTTGATTTAATAAAAGATTAATTTGGTTTTTAAAAGAATATGTAAAGCAAATTTGATGGTAAACAGGTTGAAATAATCTTATCGCAGTAGCAGAATGAAGACACAATTTATCTATTAAAAATTCCCTTTAGTTTCAAAAACCATTTGTTGATACATTTTTAAAGATGTAATCATTGTTTATCCTGTACCAGAAATGATTTCATCAGACAAATCACAAAAGCCTGACATGGACTTTATAAACATCCTTCAGATAGCTTAAACTGTAAACTGTAAGCATCAGCACAAAGTTCGAGCGGCGATCTGGAAAGGTGATCAGTTTTATTGACACTTAAATGAGACCTGGGGGAGGGAGAAAGGAAAAGTGGGCATTTATTTTCATCAATAAATCCCTTATCAGCTGCCTCGACATTTTGCTCCACAGAGGGTGACAGGCATTTCCATACAAGGACACCGCGGTGGACATGGGGCTCTAAATATAGAAGGAAACCCTATCTGGGCCTGTTGCTCTGCAGAACATGTGAAAGTGCTACCTGTCGACTTACTGACGATCATGTTTTATTGGCCTGGAACATCAACATTTGTCACAGACCGCTCTTACCGTGTTGCCAGATGTCAGAGAGTCGCCCCCATCGTGCTGAGGGCCCTGATAGACTCTGAGCTGGGGATGTTCCTGGTACTCTGAGCTCGGATGTGCAGAGCTAAAGTCGAGAGTTGCCAGTCTGCTGGCGGATGTTGGGGGACCTTGACCTGGTGGGGGGTAAGAGGGAGGCGGGGCATAGACCTGAGGCAGGGCAGGGTCTGCGCTGCCTGGGGCAGCCTCCTGAGTGGGGGCCCCCTGAGGAAAAGAGGAAGAGGGAGACGAATGAGCCACTCATGCCACAATATGACAGCGTAGATGTAAACAAACGAAACACAAGATGTTGTTGTTGATCTTCTGTTTTTACAATAAAACAAACTGCATAAACACGCTGCAGTGACACTGTGATCTTTAATGAAGATGACAGATACACAAATACCACAATAAATGATTGTTCCACCCAATTTTACACATCAGTTTAACTGTCAGAAGGAGTAAAATGCTGTGAAATCTCTTAAATAATCTGATAATAATAACCATAGCAAAAGATGTTTTTAATAGTAATAGTAAGACAAAATACAAAGCTAAATAAGCTTACTGGTAGGTTGCAGTGTTTGGAAGAGGTCACTATAAATTACCTTATATATTTACCTATTCTTTTTTAAATAACTGCCTTTTGTGAGTTTGTTTTTTGTGTGTGGTAATAAAGAAATAGTAAATTATCCTTGAAAAATACATCTGATGACCAGTCCTAAACACTACATTTCTTTTTGCTTATCCAAAGCAACATCCAAGTATAGATATAATTAAAAACATCTCTAATATTAAGACATTTCTCACAATTGTAATAACTGATTCATTCTTAATGCCAAACGTGGAGCTCATTGTTAAATTTAACTCTTTCTGTTTTTCCCATTACAAATGACAGATTTGGCACTTGAAAACAATATTTATGTCCAAAATGTTGACTTTATGTAGTACAATGTCATGTAAAATTATTGGAATCTCATCAGATTCAACAGCCACAGGTATGTTTTAAGTCTCATAGACTTTAGAATCTCTAATATCCATTTTAATTAAACAACTGTTTACTTAAAAACTTTTTTTTTTTTTAAAGCGTAACAAATGTTTGTCAGGAGCACATTTCTACTAAATATAAGGACTGATAGTATGAAACAGACCTTCTAACCCGCTGCTTCATAAAACTACTTTTAATGAGAAAAACAAGATTAAACAGGAAAACAGGACCTCCTCCAAACCAAGTGTAAGCAGTGGTTTGGAGGAAACTCCTGCGCAGTTTCCATTCAAGTGAGGTAAAAAGCAGAGAAATAAAAGCAGTCTTACCCCCTTACTGCATTCCTCGATCTCTGATGCATTGTCTAACAACTGCCGCATTTTTAATGCCAGCTGACCACCCGCCCACCGCACCATAAGTTCTACCCATCCACCAATCATCAAATGATTGCTAGAGGAAAAGTGACCGGGGGTGGGGGGTGGCTGTGGGTGGGGGAGGTGTTCCACACCAGCTGTGGACATCTGTAACTGTCAGTCACCTTGTTGCTCCCACAAAGAGCCCAGAGGGCCCCTCTAACCTACTCATGAACACAGAAAGCGTACGGAGCTTCCCCCCCAGGATTAAGTATTTATGAATGTGCGTGCTCCTGCTGAGGGTGCATCGTGCTAAATGTCGCCTCCGAGAATATCGGCCCTGACAGACACGGGTTTATTACCTCAGAGACATTTTCATGAACATCTACTTCTCTTTGTGTTGTGTGGAGTGGCTCAGTTGCCTTTTAAGAAACAGAGGACTTCACAAGCACAATAATGACATCAATGTTTGGGTTGGGTGCGAGTGAAGTGCTTCGCTGATCTTACTACATCATGACCACACAACAGAAAAAACAACAAAGTGAACACATTTACCCAGCTGTCAGACTACAGCATACTTATACTGCTTACACTTGAATTTCTGATGTTGAGCTTGCTTTATACTATAAACCTACCGCCGCCTCGTTTTGGACCCAGCCATGCTTCAGGAAGGCCGAGATGCATCAGTGATTCAATAGTGTTAAAGATCCCACCACATCAACATGACAGTCTGCACTCCCTGACAACGTCTGGCAGGAGATATGAGTCCACGTGTCACACACCAGGAGACTAAGAAACACAGTCTGTGCAGCCTCACCTCTTCACACTGACTGTCTATATATATGTTGTATATATGCCGCCTTCTGTACCGTTATATATGTATTTAAACTTTCTGATTTATTGCTTTATATCTTGTGTTAGGACTTCCAGCTGAAGCATTTAACACAACAGTTCTTGTATAAACAGATGAGATATCTGTGACGGGCCTTCTCAGACTTTCAGGAGACAGGGAGTTCTTACAGGAGGGAAAGTTTTCCAAGGACCTCATCGCAACAGTAACACTGAGTGGCAGATTCTTACTATTGGAGCTGTTCGTACTCTAAACTTTTCCATCTTAATACTTCAGACACATGTGACATGATATGTTTCAACCCCATGAAAGTTTGTGCTGATCATGAAGATAATGTATAGAGCCCGTATGTTCATTCTGATGGTGGACAGTCCTCATTTAAAGATGTACAATAATGCTGCAGCACAATGTTCAGTTGAAATTATTTTGTCTTGGCTTTCGGATACGACTTCACAAATCTAAGAACATTTATTCTGGAAGACAATCCTGGAAAATCCTCACATTTGTGAGGATTCCCCCACAGTAACTGGGAATATTTCTATTAGAGCACTGATACTTTCACTTAATCACCGGATCAGAGGATACCCTGAGTTACCTTACAAGCAAAATGCCACAAGTGTGTCAGCTGCCTTCAGGATTTAAAGGAGTCACGATTAAAAAGAAACTCTATCCCACGCCAGCTCATAATGGCTGGCATAGCTCTGCTGGCTGTTGTACTGAGAGGTTTGAAACATTCAGATTTGTTGACGCAAGGTTTGAGATGAAGGAGAAACTGGTTGTATAAGCAAGGAAATGGTTGTCAGGCAGACTCTTGTTGGCTTGGAGGATTTCATTTGACCACTCTCTGTTGGTTTGGAGGAGGATTTTTAATAAAGTGTGCACTCTCAACAAACCAGATTTGACATTAAAGCAGGCTTCACCCTGATAATTACTGAATGAGGAAAAGTTGATGGAGATGATTCATCTGCAGCTCTTACTCGTAATTCAAGAGAAATATTTAAGTTTGAACCAGAGCTGAAAGATAGGTATTGAGGCGCCGTCCAACTCTGAGGCCGTTCTTAACTCTCGCACTGGAGCTGGAACATGTTTCCAAATATGTTGACACAACTTGCACCTGCACTCTGTCCTACTTATCAGAAGAAACGACAATCTAGCTGCTCGGACCCTCCTCCGAGATATAAAAGCGATGTTGAGCGAAGAAAATGCATCTGTTAGATATCACTGTCAACTCTCCCCCCACCTTACAGACTAACTAACTAACCAGCCACTGTGTCTGATTCAGCACCACAGTCTCAACACGAGACTCCTCACGGGCTTGTTTTTTATTATCATTGCCATTTGTTCCCCCTCTCTCGCTCGTCTCCTTCCTCAGCTGCTGGCTTGCGGTCAGAGGTCGACGGCTCGGAGCCAGGTGCTTGCTGGGACAGTTGCCACGGGATTTACACAAGACGAAGCTGACTGCAGATGTGGCCTTTTGGTGCTGGCCGAGTTACAAATGTTAGCAACATGTAGCTTATTAAAGTGTAACACAATATTCCTTTTTTTCATCCATCCATCTGCACATTCTGCACATCCCGGTTCCTCCTATTGAGCGACACGACAGGCTTTTTGTTTATATTGCTGATAAAAAAAAAAAGAAGAAAAGATTGCTGATAATGAGGAGAGAGGAGTTTTACAAGCTGCCAAATGTTGTGTTAAAACAGATGCTCCACATCAGTCATAAAGGAATTTCCCCAGCACTTGGAAATATGACACTTTTAAAAAGGGAACAATTGCTGGATTGAAGTGAAGGATTTGAGCATTTAGGTACGCTGTATACTGTGTATATTGTTGTACTGACAATAAAGTTCTTGAATCTTGGAAGATCTAGCTGGGGCTTCAGACTATTTACTTCAGTGCCAGTCACCTTCAAATAACAATTCTCTCTGCATCTGTTTTCCATAAACAGCTCTCTGAATCTTATGAAATAAGTCAAGGTTACCCCGGAGGAGCCTAATATTCAACATTTAAATGCACAACAGGCTGGTTTCACACATTTATCTTAAGCACAGCTCACTACAGGACACAAGACAGGTGACAGACCCTCTTCCTGTGATTATCTGCTCAGGAGAGGAGGGCTAAAAATACAGCTGGTGTGAAGCACAGAGACAAGGTAGAGAGATACTAAATGAGCTGTGGCATTAGTGGCATGTCAGGGACACTTGCTGGTGGACTAAAGATAACCACTAATATGTCCTTACTAGTGAATAAATAAGACATTTCACAACTAGCACACTTCACACAGATCCTGTTGCATATTAAGCAATGCATCGATAGACTGAATTGGATTAAACTGTGACTTAGGGCCTTTTGGCTTCTTCTGCTCACTGGAAAATGTTTTAAGTTTTACAAAATACAGGGATTTTATCTGGTAATAGGAATCAGATCTTTTTAGTTTAATCATTAAGCAAAATCATACAAAGGTGCTGATTTAAATGTCCAATTATTTGATTATATTTCTTAATGTGAGTATTTGGGTAAATAAAAGAATAAATATAACAACCAGAGCTCTAGAAATCAAATCAAATCAAATCACTTTTATTGTCACATCACATGTGCAGGTACATTGGTACAGCACATGTGAGTGAAATTCTTGTGTGCGAGCTTCACAAGCAACAGAGTTATTTTGAAATGCAAAATAACTGACATTGAGATTAAGAATTGTAATAATAAATAATATTATTTTGTTGCATAAAGTTATAGTTCCCCAGTAGATGATTTCAGGGGTGTTCCCTAGGGGGGAAAATCTGAGTATTTATGTGATAATGTCTGGCCACAGAGTAAATCAAGAAGTTTACCTGAACTATGCTGGGGTAGCATGTGGTTGCCTGTGGGTAGACGGGGAGTCCATAAGGCTGGAGGATCACAGTGGGTGAGGAGAGCATAGCCCAAAAACGACACACGAGGAGATGAGGAACGGAGGAAAATGGGAGGAAAAGGAGAGCAGGGGGAAAGGAAGGGTTGATGTACACACAGAAGAGCAGGCGATCAGGCTGGAAATTTTTTTTAAAAAGGGAGGAAAAATCTCAACTGAAGGAAACAGAAACTCCAAGAAAGTGAGGGAGGTGGGAAAAAAAGACCACGCTTAAGACTTTTGCTTCACCTCGAAAATGAAGTCAAGCAAGAAAACACAAGGGAAACCCCCAAAACACCCGGAAAAGATGGGATTTAGAGCAGTGAAAGAGAAAGCCAGTGAGCTTCTGTGTGTCCATCAGTTGATCATGCAGCCTGACAGACAGAAACACATGGTCAGGGTCCCATTTCAGAGTTATATAAATAGTCACCCATGTCCTTCTCTCTGAGTTTACCACCTTACCTCCCTCACTCTCACTTTGTAAGAGGAGATCTGTGACCACTCAGTCAAACCTCTGTGCAGAGTGAAAGAAGCAGGCCTTTCCCGCCTCTCTGTGCACGTTGAAGCTGTGTGTTATACCATCTATGTAATGACATGAGGCCTGTTCGTGATTCAAGCGCATAAACAAACTTCATCTTAACTTCTTCCATGTGTTCAGGTTGTGCTCTTCGCTTTGACCAACAGAGAGCGACAAACCCAGCAGGCCCGACTTCCGTTTGGGCGGTGAGAGGCATCATGGGATATGTAGTGTGCTCGCAGGCCCTATAAATGATTATGGACTTCCTTTAACTTCCTCTTTACTGCGCGAGCCTGAGCGAGACAGGTACGGTTACCATCCTCATCCTTACCAGCAATACAAACCGAGTGTATTTGGACCTCCACGTTGAAAAACAGTCATAGGACATGAAACTAAACTTATGCCTGTGCCGATTGAAGACCTGCATGTGTTTTTTTTAAAGCGTTTTTAAACGAAAAGCGCTTAAGCTAATGCTAGCTGCTAACATTAAACAACGTGGTGCGGTGTAGCTGCGGCCTAGTCTTATGGATGCCCGGTCTGTTAAACGTTTATACGCGATTTATTGTAGTTTCAGAAACATTTAATGAAGCGCATCCGATGTATCAGTGTTTCTAGTCAATTCGGTCCTTACACATTACCCTTGTCTTCATAAACCGTACGATCGTGTGGCAAATCTGACCGATACAGTTGAAGCATGGAAGTAATAGTGACGGTTGTAGGTCCCTTTAGCCTGGTAAAAAGTTAATGTCTTTTTTTTAATTATTCAGTAAACGCTTTGAAAAACGGAACTAGACTGACAGATGGAGAGCCTATTTGACTTAATTAAACTGACTCTACTTTTTGAGGTTGACTTGATTGTCTTAGTTGTAAATTGTAACATGAGTTATTGCTGAAAGTGCATAATGTTTGCCTTTAAAATGTCTTCTGTGCACAAGATTCAAATAACATGTCAACCTTGAATAACCCATTAAAAGTGTAAAATGGTATAAATCTTATATGTAGCGTCCCCCTCATTGTAATTTCTTGGTTTTGCAGGCACTTATAAGCCATCATGCCCGTTGCCAGAAGCTGGGTTTGTCGTAAGACATATGTCACCCCCCGCCGCCCCTTCGAGAAGTCCCGTCTCGACCAGGAGTTGAAACTCATTGGTATGTTTTCATTTTCATAACTTCCGTCCATATATATATTTCAAGGCATACCCTTTAATGAGCTATACTAAACTGATTACGACATTTCATCTCCCTTTAAGGTGAGTATGGGCTGAGGAACAAGCGTGAGGTGTGGAGGGTCAAGTTCACCCTTGCCAAGATCCGCAAGGCTGCCAGAGAGCTGCTCACTCTGGATGAGAAGGACCCAAAGCGTCTGTTTGAAGGTGGGTAGGATGAGTTAAAGCTGGTTTGTGTTGGCCGATGATTTAAATATATAAAGTGTCAGACTTCACCATGGTGTCACGAATTCCTCGTCAATGAGGCCAATATTTCTGCTCTGCATAGATTTTTGAACACGTCTCTGTGGTTGTATGTTTAAATGACGTTTTGTGTATACGTGTGGTTTTCCAGGTAACGCTTTGCTCAGGCGTCTGGTGAGAATCGGTGTGCTCGATGAGGGTAAGATGAAGCTCGATTATATCCTGGGCCTGAAGGTCGAGGATTTCTTGGAGAGGAGGCTTCAGACACAGGTCTTCAAGCTTGGACTTGCCAAGAGCATCCACCACGCTCGTGTCCTTATCCGCCAGAGGCACATTCGGTAAGCTCAAAGCAACACATAACGGGCTCAGTGGGGGTTTTTTTTGTTTTTTGTTTTTGTTGTTTTTTTTGATGGACTCATGAGAACCTGTCGATGCTTCCTCTTCCATCAGAGGACCACCAACCTGTAACACACCCTGTTGACAACAGTTAAGATTTTCATCAAGGTCAATTCGGTATCAAAACCGTATACCTTGTCAGTAGACATTGCCCAGAGCCAATCCTGCCGCCGAGGGCGCAGACAGTGCCACGGTGTTGTGGCCGTCAGGTAAGGTATGGGGGATTGCACCTCGGGCAATTGTAGTATTCACTACAGCATTGGATATGAAGTACTCAGGCTGATGATTTAAGTCATAAGTTCAGATTTCCTGTGGTGTCAAGAATTCCTCGTCAATGAAGCCTGCAGTAAATTATACATGTAAAATATTAAAGATTCACACTTTTTCCACCCTGAAAGCTTTTTCAGCTTCTAAACTGCAAAGACAACTCTTAAGTGCAACTGGAAGATGCATCAACATTTTCTAAAGTCCTCCCTTTATTGTCTGTCTTGGCAGTGTGCGCAAGCAGGTGGTGAACATCCCCTCTTTTGTGGTTCGCCTGGACAGCCAGAAGCACATTGACTTTTCCCTGAGGTCTCCGTACGGCGGTGGACGCCCAGGCCGCGTCAAGAGAAAGAACGCCAAGAAGGGCCAGGGTGGAGCTGGAGGAGCTGACGATGAGGAGGAGGATTAAGAAGGATGTTGTACAGGAGTGTTTCTTGATACTTCCTGTTGTGACAATTCTCAATAAAATGTTTGGTTTATCCAAAAAAAAAAGTAGCTGACTCATGCAGTTTTTTTTTTTAAAATATGTTTATTTGTTTTTTCAACTATCAACACCAACATAAAATGAAGTATGGCAGTCATTAAAATAATAATAATAATAATAACACTAATAATAGTAATAACGATAATTGAAGTGTTAATCCTAAAAGGTTCCAAATAAATGCATAGTTAAATAAATTAAACCATACAAATAAATACAATTTAAATAAAAAAAATCATAATATAGGTTACAAGTATATTCCCAACAGCAAGTCAGACATTATTCATTATCTAGTTGTCTTATTCACTCACCGCCCCCCCACATCCCCACTCCTCAGTAGATCCAAAAATATCTTCCAGATGTTGTAAAATTCAGAAGCCTTCTTTCTAACAATATAGGTCAGTTTCTCAAGAGCTAAACTCGATGTTAAGTTATTTAACCAGTGGTTAAAAGAGGGGCAACCAACATTCTTCCAGCATAAGGCGATACAGCGTTTGGCCTGTAGCAAACAAAGATCGACCATTTTTCTTTCCTCACAAGACAGAGTACAGTCATCTGGATACAAGCCTAAAATGCATAACTTAGGGCAAAGCGGTACAGGAGAAGTTGTGATCTGAGAGATATATTTTAACACAGAGCTCCAAAATTTTTGGATCTCTTCACATTTCCACAGGCAGTGATATAGTGTACCCTGATGCCAAAGCAAAGAGGACACAGCAAAAAAATATCTTCAAAAAGGGTTTTCTTTATTTTAACCCTCAAAAAGTCCAAAATTAACAAAATTCAAAACCATACTTAGCAGGCCCATAAAACAGGTCAACTAAATATAACTCTACAAAAAGTAATTTCCAAAAACTTAAACAACAAAGTGAGACACAACTTAACTCACAAACTGACCTAATTACAAAGACACATGAGGGTAGCTTTTATAATGATTTGGCCAAACCATTTGAACACAATAGGGGGAAAACAAAAACACACATTAAGCACAGAATAACCTAACTAAACCTAAAACACCCCTGCTCCTGGTAAGCCCATGGTTGGTCCTGCTGAGCAGGCATTTTGTCCCCAGAGTCCTCAGCCACGCCTTTTGCCCAGACAGGAAACAGCCACCGCCCAAACCCAGGTAACTCAAAGAAAGAGAAACATAATTAATATAACAAAACATTTTAGAAAAACCACACAATGTTACTATGTGTGGCTGCTGGATTTTTCAATCAAGATGGTGTATGAGATTCAATAGTATGTACTGACTCTAGATTTCTTTTCGTTTGAGTTAATTTTACTAAGTCTCTTTAACTGTGTGAAACAAAACTTGACACCTGAACTGACATGCTTATTTATACTGAGGTTTTTAAAACTATACAGCGTTATAGACATAGAGCTCAGGTATGTAGCTGTGAGTGTGCTAGATGCCAGATTAAGCTGACAACTATTACGTCACTCTTATTCATATTTAGCAACATAGAAACACAGGAAGTTGAGTTTAAGATTGTTACTGAGGTTAAAGAGCTGTAAAGCTTTGTGTCATCTCCATAGGATTGAAAACTCAAACTAGGCCTGTGGATGACAAGC